AATTGCTGGTTAAGTGGCTTAGTGTTATCAATAAGAGCCCACTCTGATGAGAACAAAGAGGACTGCCAGAATCCCTTATGAAAAATAAAAAAAGCTATTTTACACACAACTTTCAGAAACAGTTTCCAACGCATGAGAGCAGAGGCTGCTCTGTGGATGGGCTGTCATAATCAAATCCTTAGAAACGGATGAGAAATGAGCATACTATTCTTGATTTACTATCACTTCGTTTATGATTTCCAGTTAATACAGATCCACAAAGCCATGCCAAAGAGATACTAAAGGCCTGATTGTACTATCCTAATGCAAGCAAAACCCATACTCAAAGTCCTTTTGAAGCCTTTCTGCTTCTGTCAACTCTTGCAATTTTTATTGCAAGCCTTGCAGTACTTGATGTTTTGCTTAACATTCCGGCTCCTGGAGTTATACAACATGTGAATCTCCTTTATCTTCAATTTTAAAAGAAGTTTGTCGCCTTCATGATTGAATAGAAGAATTTGCAAACGAGACTTTCAAAAAGTGTCAAAAATAAAAAAGAAGAAACAACTTAACTGTATCGTTTTGCCGAATAACTTCATAAAGAGGATGACATTCTTAGACCAAACTCATAATTTCTGAGCCCCACTGCATACGTATGACTCACCAAAAGTTAGCAACATGTAGCTGCGTATTTTCACTTCATGGAAATTTCCTGTTCTTGTAGCAGTTAAGGTTGGGGATTTCTTTTCGCGCTCATAAAGCTACACAAAATTTTGAGCCTCCTCCCGTCCAGCGTGGGGGAAGCGAAGGACCTCTCCTGTAATCCTCAGCTCCCGCGCCAGCGACCATGGGGTTCCCCCAAGTGTCAATGGCAAAGTGAGAAGCAATGCAGAGAAAAACTCTCATCGACCACCCAACTGGTGCCAATTTTGCACCAACTGCCCAACTGGGATTAACTGGGCAGCCCAGTCCTTAAATTGCCTGCTCCAGAGTCTACCCTAAGCTCTGTGGTGATCCTACAGGAGAGCTGTAGCTTGGGGGCTGCTATCTGAAGAGCCTGGATCAAAAACCTCCCCAAAACTATCCCTCCCATGATGGCTGCAAATTCACATGTTGCCTGTTAACACTGAAACAGTGCAATGCTTGCTTTATTTCCCTCTTCCTCCCACCTCCTCATTTCCTTTTTTTTCTCTCTTTTTCCTCCTTACCTGATACCTTTTGTTTATTCTGTAAGCTATTTGAGGCAGGGGCTGTCAGTTCTTATGTGTTTATGCAGTGCCTTGTATGAAGGCTGACAGCTCTAGATACCATTATAATCAAAGAGAAAAGGGGGGTGTGGGATTTTTAAGGCGCTAAGGAAAATGAGGCATTCACCTACCATTGACATTCAATAGGCTTTGAGTACCTTTCTCCCCTTTGAAAAAATCTGCATCTACAAGTATAATAATTAGGATGTCTGTCATCACCAAAACATCCATTGTTAAAATATGACACAGCCTCCAAGTAGGGAAAACCTTCATTTAGAGCAGAGTCACTAACAAAAAGCATTTTTTTGTTCAGAAGCACTATGACCTCATTTGTCTAAAATCATGCGCAACAGTATTCAACATACTTTCTGGAAGTATCATGTCTATCTTGTATCATATATTGCATTAGTTAGATATTTGCTGAGAAGCACACACTCCATCAATTTAAGCACTAACATTGTAGGTTTTTTAAAAGAACATTTCCTATAAATAGAGATGTAAATGATCTTCTTTAAGTATTGTAATCTTTAATTGAATTCAATGCCTTTGCAAATGGAGCAAACAATCTCTGACTGATTAGATCATTTGCTTCTATTCTGTTTCAGGCATGCACTGGTTTGCAGTAATGTAAGGTTTTTTTTTCATTAGCAATTGCTGTTCAGCTGCATATTTTCTTTGGTAACCTAATTAATGCCAGAAAGGTAATTTTTCTTCTTGTGCGTTACAGTATGTCAATGTAGTTGACACTCTTAGGTTATATATATAAATAAAAATCAGAAAAAAAATGTAAAGGCCAAAAATGAAAAGGAATGCAGAAATTAAAAGCAGATTTTCCATGAGATGGTGAGTGCCTTCATCTCCCAGTGACACCAAGATGGAAAGTGATTACTCAGCACCCTGCAGGACAGACCCGTGGGAGTCCTATAGGTCACTAGCACAGAAATTATTTAAATGCAGGTAGAATAAAGAAACAGGTATTAATGAAGAGAAAAAAATATGTCCTTAATTTGATTCTGTAGCTTCCTAGGTCTGAGTTTGCTGCATGAATAACATAGCATCCTGCAGACAAATTTCAGCTTTGACTTTGGGATGTTATCAATCTCTTTAAATCAAATCACAGGCCTGATTGCAAACTGTGTTCCAGTGCAGGCCCTGACTAATTAAGTGTATAGGTGTGATGACAACACAGATCCTAACCAGGCAGGATGTTTAGACATAGCTGAAGTAAACCACTGTGTATTATTAGTGGTAAGAAGGGCTCAGTTATACAGTCAGGATGCCATGTGTTGTTACACTAGCATTGAAGGCTTTCCTCAGAAATGTTGATTTCAGGCTCTTAGATATAGAGTTTCAAATGGGCTGTATTTGAGAGAAGTTGATGGAAACCTTCACCCTCAGAACGTGCTTTGGTGAGATGCTGTGCACCTCTGGATGCTCCTGGAGCCTGCCTGAAGCTGGTGGTGGTGGGACATCAAAGAGCAAGTGCTCATGGTGTTTTGGTGTGGCCGCTTCAGCCAGGAGAGGATGAGGAATGGCACAGCTGCATTGAGGTCACTCTGCTCCAGGCAGTGAGGGGCTCTAAAAAACTTGTGTAGATGCTCTGATAAACTCCCTCAGGGTCCCACCTTATTTCACTGCAGTCTAGGAAGAGAAGATCTTTGGAAGATCATTTTGTCTAATTGTCTGTTTCCCCTCTTCAGAAAAAAATTACACCTCACCATAGTTGTTAGCTTAAGAAACATTTTTCTTCCCCAAATATGCCATTGGGACACCTCAAAAAGAAAAATCTTAGTGGTTAAACATCCAAAAAAGTGTGTGAGTCATACTTGGGAATATGCGTGTATACTGAGGCCAAGTGGCAAAGCAACTATGCCAGTAAACTCCCATTGCCCACAGATCATGCAAGGTGCCAACTGGGAATGGTCCCTGTGACATTTTTCCTCCCAAATTGTGCCTGGGAGTTACCTGAGAGAGCGGCAGTGGCCAAAAGCATGCTGGGAACTGTTAGAATGGTTTAACTTAGTTTAATTTTAATTTAGTAGCATTAATTTAGCTCAAATTCTTCCACACTATAAGGATGTCCTGCACTTTTAGATGCAGATCTTCCTCTGGGTAAATTTGATGAAGTCTTACATTTCATTGCTGCAAAGTACTAAAATCAGACTAGTTGGATAATAAGGTGGGAGATACTATTTAAAACAGAATTAATAACAAAGAAAATTTATTGCCTATTTAATAAAAACGCTGTAGCTTACTACAATAATCATTGAAAGAACTGCAACCCACAATGGATGCCATTCTTTGGAGGCAGCGATTTCCATGTATCTGTAGTTGGGTTTTAGTTGTCCTCTCTTGTCCCCCCCCCCTTTTTTTTTTTTCCTTTGCACTCTCACGCACTTTACATAAACAAGGAAAATGCATAAAACCTCTGTTTCTTTGAAAATACAAGTCAAAATGCTTTTGTAAAAGTGTGCTTTTAACTTAAATGCTCTGCTTCAGTTTATAAAAGAACAATTTTTACTTTTACTTCACTGTAGTTTTCAGTCCATAGTATAAAGTGTACAAAAATCCTACAGACAGAAAAGCTGAATTGTCGAGCTTGATGCCTCGGATCAAATTCAAACTGTGAGTTGAGGTTTTACACAGAAAACAGGGAACTTGACCTCAGCCTCCCAGTCTAATCAACATGTTCTCCTCCATCCGTGAGAAAATTAATCTCATTCATCACGTCGTGCTCCTGTTCCTCCCTACGGCTCCTGACGCTTTCTTTGCTCCTTGTCCTACTTCTGGATCTCAGAGCATGGTTGTCACGGCTTGATAGCACAGTTGGGCACACAAGCAAGCGTGCGAACCAAGTGAACATAGGAAAAGCTTTTAGCAGGGTACCTTTTTGTTTGTTTGTTTGTTTAAGACAAAATAAATATTGAAGAATCTTCCATAGATTCAACAGAAATGCCCTGCTAAGTTTTAGGTTTTTAAAGCACAAAGACTGAATGCTGTTACTCAGGGTATCCACAAGATGAAGGTACTGAATTCACTCACCTATTTTTCTCCTTCCTTTTCCCAATAATTAAATTCCGCCAAATATTATACCGAGATACTGACAAAACCTGAAAACTACTAAATATATCACTAAATTCATGAGATGCAAATAACCTCCGCAAACAGTAAACAACAGCCTCTGACTTGGAGCCCAAGTCTCCCAGGGTGCAGAGTGCTCTTAATTCCCTCTGCTGCCACTGCCTCTTATGCGGAATTCTGCCCGAGAAGACGATCAATCGTGGGACTAGAGAAAGTGCTAATGCCCTCTTTTCCAGTCTCTTCCAACTTTTTGTCTTCACACCTCCTTCCTGTTCCCTCTTCAAACTGGGTCTCTTTTCTCTATCTCATGGATAAAGTCACCACTTCATTTCATTATCTCTAATTCCAGACATCCTGCACTCCTACACTGAAAATAATCGATATAAGCCATCAAAGGAAGACAGAATTTTTTAAATATGCACCACTATGAGGAAGGACGACAGAGCAATAAAACTCAGCACAAGAAAAAACTGAACTGGTAAGTTTGTCTAATTTAGAAGAGCAGCAAAGTCCTTACTTTCCCTCTAAATGCTCATCAACGTCATATCCATGAGCCATGGACAGTACAGAACTTTTATGTGCAATCCATGCATTTGTTCAACAGGAACAATTTCATCTGCCGAGTGAACGCGATATAGGAATCCACACTCAAAGACAGGGGAATATTTGCAAAAGGCAAGGAAGCCAACTAACCTGACCAATAGGTTCTTTTGTCGGGGTCTTTCCTCTTCGAGCGGTGCTCGTGGCCAAAGTGGTGGTGGTTTCCATGACTGAGGTGGACATCTCAGACTGCATCGCTGTGGCTGTGGACTCGGTTGTCATAGAGGAAGGCACTTCACCAACAAGTCTCACATTTCCTTCTATCACGATGTTGGCATCATTTTCTGCTGCCATATTCAGAACTTTCAAGCCATTGTAGTAAAGACCAGAGAGCTGGCCTTGGAAAGGGTGGCCACGTTCCTTGCCTCCAATTTTTATGGTTGCTTGGCTATTGAAGATTGTGAGCTGACGCCCTGTGAAGATAATATTATATACATGCAAAAATGTTGACTGGGAACACTGTACTCTACACAAGTGATAACAGATTGTCATGGGGTGAATAATGAGAGCAATAAACTATAAGAAAAGGATTTCACTCATAATTCATTGCTTTTTAATGAGGTGTCCATGAAATGCATAAATTTTGAGAGCATGTGCATTTTTCTTAATTTACCACATTTTGGGATTTTTATTTTTTTTTTTTTGCTAAAAGGCCAATCAAATAGATTTGCAAATGTGTTGAGTACTACAGATGATACCCCTCTCCCTTTTACCTGAAAGCAGTGTTAAGCTTTTTGGTGTGTGTCAAGAATGCCAGGTTTCTAATTCCTTAAGATTACTTTTTCTTCAAGTCTGCCAACATTTCAAAGTTTTTTTCCACGCAATACAGCATAGGGCCTATAGCTGTAAGTGAATTTATGTATGTATAGACATATACAAATATGTATATACACACAGAGAGAGTTTATATATATGCCAACGAGTCACTAGGTCAAGTGAATTTTAAAGAACATGTTATGCAGTAATCTGTCATATCTCTATGTAACTCAATAAAATGTTTACATTTTTAATTAAATGTTTCCTTTTTGTATTTCAATGTTTATTTTCCTTCAACGTACACACTGAAAAGAAACACATGGTTCACGCTGAGTATCTCAGAGGCAGATTCAAAAATAGATGTCTGATTGGCTTTCAGCAAGGCTATCAATTAAACTATAAGATTTTAGATGTAAAAGCGGCTTCAGAAATGATACACATACCGATGGAGAAATCATGGCACATTTCCATTAAACAGAGAAATCCTCAGCAACAGTACCACTCTTAGTAAATAGAATAGTCACTTTAGCAGATTGGTTTCTGCTCACAAAAAGCATGCACACAACTTTAAGTTCTGGTTTAATTAGTGTTTGTTCCAAAATCCCCTTAGAAGGTTGCAAACGTTAAAGGGACTTCATTTTGATTGGCAATTCATATTGCCCACTATTTAAGATACCTACAGTTTAAACAAATTTTTTTTCAGGACCATAATGAAGATATCATAACTACATATATTTTTAGTTAATAATTTAGATGCTGCAACATGTAATATAATCTATGAATGATTTATAATTTTTGGTTAATGTTTGCTATGAGTACCTTCATAGATTTAGTGGATTATATTTAACAGTCCCTTTAACCTTAAGTTAACAGGGTAAGATTATTAAACAGCTGGTACTTCTAGAAATGTATAGAAATTATTATACAAGGTACGCAAATATTACTCTATATTTTACTTTTTTAAATTTGTTTTTAATTTAGTTTTACTGAAATTTATTTTTTATGTTTATTAGTGTTACAATGAAGTACTACTTGGTTATGTTCAAATTATTTTTTTATTTGAAGTTTTAATCAATGTTTTTTACCTTTGTCGAGTAGCCATTCATCAACTACTCGACCAAGTCGATATGGAATTCGCTGTCTAGCAATCGCCAGGCGCTCGTTATCATTGTTTCCTTTAAAGTTTAAAGAGACATTTCATTGGTTAAAATCTGTAAGGTCAAAGGTTAAAAGTTAATACTTAAAGCTTGAGCTATACAGTTGCCACATGATTTTTTGAAATTTGGAATTTTAAAAAGTGCTACCTAGAACATTTCATGGTTCAGACTTTTCATTCATTCATTTATTTTATTTTAGCAAACAAAATTATTCCTATGTTAATTGAAAATTAGAAATCTGCATTTGAGCTAGGTTATTAAACTTATGTTATAGACAGACCCCAAAAACAAATTTAAACATCATCGAATGGCTTTACAAAAAATGATCATTGACCTCAGGGTTTTGTCTTTTTTGATGTTTCTTATTAACTAGTTAAACATGTTCAGGTGAAACAGGTTTAAGTTTTCAAAAGACATCCAACCTCTCACTCCAAGTTAGTCATTTAAAGAAGAAGAAGAATACAACTCTTAATCACTATCTAAGGCACACTTACTTCTGCTGTATAGCAATAGACCTACTGTAACTTATTTCCTAATCAGAAAAAACACATTCTTCTTCACTTCATTTAAATAAATTCCACAGATTCAAATATACGGTACAGAACAGACCAAGGTATTCACCATTTGTACATTCTCATAGGACACGTTGACAATGTCTTGAAGGAACACCAAGGCTTTGACAAAAGTGACTTGCTGAAAGGTTGCCTGGTTCTGAAACATGGAAGCGCTTTAAAATTTGGCAAGAGGCCATGTGTAGTGGCATTTCGTAAATTAAGAGCTAACCAGAACTCGGCAATGCAAAACACAAGCTTGTCATATTTGCAAACCGTATCTATTCTCAGTCTGTGCAGAGATTTTTGACTTCTTTAAGTAAAACAATGAGATAATGTAAGGCTGGTACAGTCAGAAAAATATCAGACAACAAGGAATAATTAGCAAAGCACTTAAAGTATTTCTAATGATAGCTTTTTGTGTTTGAATGATACAAGTGTGATCCCTAAGAAAACCATGTCTTCTACTTAAAACTTTTCTTAGGGGAATAGTAAACCTAAATATTTCCTTCAATGTACAAGTTTTTGGTGGCAGTAGTGTTTTAGACCAACAATAACTTTTTCTTCCATTGTGTTGATTCATATTAGTAAAGAACCTGAGAGATCAGAGGAACCAGATGGGTAAAAAGTAATCATTCCTAATTCCGGTCTGAATCCAATCTTACTAGCTCAAACATGCATACTGTCTTTGACTTCAAAACCCACCAATGAACCAAGTCCTGTATCTGCAGTGGAAATGTAAGTACAGGATGCAGTAGCCCACAGAACTCTCAGAAATACATTGTCTTGAGCTAGAAGGATGCTACTGCTGATTATCAAACCAAAGTATTATCCAAATTCAGAAAATCAATGTTCTAGTTGTCAGACAATTATCCCCACTGTCAGAATCACAAGCCATAACAGGCTGGCAGGGAAGAATCAGTACCGTAGCCCCCAGAAATAGCAAGAGTAACAGCTTCTGTGCCAAAACCCATGGCGGTTTTATGCAGATACTTATTCTGCAGTGACATGAACTGCTACTTTCCATGTTTCATGTCTCCCTCATTTGGCCTAGCACGGACATAGTTCACTATGCCAGAAGCTAATGTATTTTCTTTTGAGAGGATGTCCTTTTCCTATTCACTTTCCAGTGCAGAATCATAAAATGCTTTGGGTTAGAAGGGACATTTGAAGATCAGCTAGTCCAACCCCCCTGCCATAGGGCAAGGACATCTTTTACTAGACCAGGTTGCTCAAAGCCCATTCAACCTGACGTTGAAAACTTCCAATGATGAGGCATCCACAGCTGCTCTGGAAAAACACAGAAGTTGGTTCCACAACTTCTTTGGGCAAATACGCTATGTGAACTTCTATATACATGTCAATATTAAAAAGTGTGTGGGTATATATATAAAAATATTTTTTTCCATATGCACATTTTGCTCTGTTCTCAACTTTCAGAATCATTCTCCATAAAACAATATTTTACTGAAACTTTCCCTTTTCTGCCCTTCCAAGAAACTGAAAATTTAGAATAAAAGGCTTCAGAACACAACTCTTGTGATGTTGTGAGAATACAGAAAGTCTTAAATTTTTTTTTCCTGTTATGATCTTTAAAATTACTGCTCTTCATTGCGGCCTCCTTCACTTACAACAAACTCCCTGTGACTAAATGGAAATTTGAGAAGTACAGGAAAAACATGAGAAATATCATGTGATCAACATGGGAACAAAGTATGTGATCCTCCATGTTATCTTCAATTAAAAAAAATTACATATATACCAATGAGTTAATAATTTATATTCCCTGACAGCCAGTTACTTTTAACACTTATGTTTAGCTTTTCAATAAGATGTTTCTATGGCTTTTATTGAGGCATTATCAGTTGATTCACTGAGTGAGAGAATTTCCCATTTCCAAAAGGTTTCCTTACTTAAAACAAATGAATCATGAGATTTTGGTTCTGTTAGGTATGGGGTTTTTTTTCATTATCTATATATAAAAAAAAAAAGGGTGAGGGTGGGAGTAGGCTGGATTCTTCTATGTCATGTATAAGAAAAGGCTAAATTGTTCAGAAGAGGTTTGCAGGCATAAGGAATCTATTAATGCAATGGAAATTTTACAGTTGGACTTGATCATCTTTGAGGTCTCTTCCAACCATAATGATTCTATGATTCTGAAGAAGTCTCATGGACGTAGATCATCATTCACTCGTCAGATTCACCCACTGGTACTCACTGGATGCCTTTCATGAAGAGATGCTCCCTAGACCTCAGAAGAACCACACAGCCATGTCAAAATGAAACAGCGTTCACAACTGCGTATGTTGGGAAGGCATAAACTCTGATTTTCATTCAAGTAGTGGGTGTAATTCAGACGCACTTGGTAGAAGGATGCTCTGCAGTCACCAGTCTGGATCCCTAACGCTGTGGTATCTCTCTACTTTAATTCCATTACTAACATGGGATTTATCCTAGACAAGGTTTACAGCTGTCTCCACTTTCATTACTTGGCAGCTGCTCCAGGACATCTCTATGGTGATCGTGGAAACTCCTCTGGGAATTAACAGCATAAATTTAGTCTTGGCCAGCTTAAACATTTCTTTGAATTATTTCATTAAAAAGTCCATGCAATATGTATGTTTTTTGACAATATTGCACCCTATTATAATGTGATTCTATCTATAAATTATGTTTTTTACTAACTGCAGCTGTCTTGCACCACTGGGAGCAAAATACAAATAAAAAGCAAGGAAATAACCATTTGATTTGTAAAGGTCACACAAAAAAATAATTGCTGATTACATTAGCCCATCCCTCATTGGAGGAAAAGTGCATTGTCAAATGCATCTCAATTTGACACTATTACATTAGCTTCAGTTCTTCTAGTATAAAATATAAATGGAAGAGCTAGGGGGAAATGGCGTGGAACTTATCCAGATTTAGTTTCAAGGGGAACACATAGGTTCAGTAATGATGAAACTAGTAGATATATGGGTAACTTAACAGCTACATTAAAAAAAAGATTATATGTAGCATTGAAAATAATGGAAACTGTATTAAAAACAACAAACATCCTATTATTACATCATGAAAAAACACACACCTTTTCAATAACTGCTTCTTCCCAAACAGCTGGTTTGGGTCATAGACTCAGCTACAACAAATCTGGATGGCCCCACTGAATTCGGTAAAACTGTGTGCATTTACTTCATCTCGTAATCTAATTCCCAGTAAGAAAAACATAAATACCGCACATTGTTTTTCTCAGGAGTAATCAGTGCATGTTACTTCCTTTATTTATGCTTGTTTTTATCAATACGGTGAACCACAAGGAACTTCTTCAGTAAAAACACTTCCAAGAAGGTTAATAAAAATTTTCATACTCTAAATAAACCTGTGGCTTTGAAATTTTATTTCTGTTACCCATCTGAAAGATTAAGTGCTCTACCAGGCATGCTTTTCAACCATAACTCATAAAAAACAACTGATATGCCTAAGGTTTAATTGTAGACAGCGATGTGACTATCCAGCATGATTCTTCCTGGTTATATGGCGAGATTTCTTTGATTAAAAAAGCTGGGTAGAAATGATTCACTCAGGATGTGCACCATGACTTTATCTAACCTGATTGCATTCTAGATGGCTTCATTCTTCGGCCAAATAGATAATATTTTGTCACAACACACTGTTAATTCTGTACGGACAGAAAGGCTTCAAGGGAATAACAATAATTCCAAAGAATCAAGGTAAGCAGAGAGGAGCAGCAAAGGTCAAATCTTTGAGTCAGAGTTAAATCTTGTGGCAAGATTGAGAAGAAGCAGTCCAAAAAAAACTTTAATCATACCTTTATATCTATAGGTCAGCTGGGACAAACCAACTATGTGAACTTCACTAATATGTATTTTATCCCTCCTGATTTATTATATTGTCAGTGCTGGAGTGTAATTCTATTTTATTCTCTGAAATAAAGGTGTCAGTTATTGATGTGAAATAGCAGCATCCTTGAAAGAGAATAAGTAAGAAGGTTGAAAATTGAGAGTCTGTGAAGAACAACCTAGGCTAGAGAATATTTTCTTTGAAACAAACCCTTTAACAGAATACAAATTCACCTTGTTAGTCTCAGTGATCTGCTAGGGAAATAAATAACAAAGTGATGAAACCAAGGTCTATCCCCATTTACAAACAATCCCCCTCTCCCTAGTTTTGCTGATCATGATCTCAGCACCGCTGTTTCTCAATCATGACTCCCCTGGCATCTCCAAGAGGAAGGCAGAGACCCACATCATTCCTCCATATGCAGTTAAGGATGAAACCTGATGGAAGCATCAACTGCACGGCATGAGAGGAAGCCACAGCAGCTCTGTGGTCCAGGGGCAAACAGTCCACATAGTGTCTCATGTGGCCAGGCTAGGAAATGAAAGCACAATCTCAGTAATGGCCCATATTAAAGCTCTTTTGAATCATCTATTACTACTACTGTGCACA